TGATTACTATTTTTTTTTCTATTTTTTAAAAAGAAACAGGGATGAGTTGGAGATGCCAAAAGAAAAACAAAAACAAATCCATTTTCAATGGGGGTAAATCAATCAGAGAGTATCAAGGTTTTTTTCTTATGTCAATTATAAAAATAATTAAAAATATATATTAATAATTAATCATTTAACTAAAACTAATCTTTATGACTTAATCAAAAGGACAAATGTCTGAAATACTCAAATTTATGTCTACTCATTTCTGGCGTATTCCTCTATTGTCTGGTATACTCCTTTCTCCAATACTTCTATTTGGTACAACTTCGGTAGTAATATTTGGTACAACTGTAGTATTACTTGGTACAACTATTAAGATACAACTGGATATTACTTGGTATAACTAGTTATTTTGTACAACTAGTTATTTAGTACAACTAAGATAAAAAAAATACATAGTACAACTAGCGGTTCTCAGATATTGACTTAGTCAATAAGAGCTTATGGGACATTCATTCTTATCAAAATCACTAGAATTAGGGCAAACAATTAGGTTTTAAATTATAATTTTTTTTATGTGTTATTGAGCCTAATTTCTATTTTTTTTTTCGAACGTTTCCAAGAATCAAAGCAAGTGAAGGACGATTTGTATTGAATTCTTTTTCAAATTTATAATCTTGGAATGAATCGGAATAACAAAAGATTCAAAAAATTACAATCGAACCAAAGACTTATCCAATAAATTAGAGGAACGACCCTAGCATACAAATAGAGTTATCGAGAACTTGGGAAAAATTATGATGCTTTTGAATTCATAAACTTGGCATGTCAACGAGGTCTTACTTTGAGTTTTTCTTCGAAGTGACGATGGCTGTAGTTGAGATCTTTCTGTGGTCGGACAATTTTTGTTTTTGTCAACTCATAATACCGTTATTATGAAAGCCTATAAAACAACATAAAATGGTACAAAGTCCTACTCTAGATATGATAGATTGGCCCAAACACATTCTTTTTTTTTTATAACATTTACATATTGTCACATACAAAGTCTTTCACTCATAAAACTAAACAGAAAATTGGCTGATAACAATGTAGTATATGCACGAATTTTGCGTTTATTCACTATAATTGTGAAAACGACCACCACGAGATCAAAAACCCGTCCCCATGTTTTCGCGAAGTCAATCACACATAGTTTTACACACTATAGCTGCGTCGGTAGTGGTGGTGGTGGTTTGTTGTCGATGGCGTCCAAAACCGCCGGTGGTTTGTCGCAGCAGACAATCATTCGAGACGTTTTGACGTGTCTGTTGAAAGTGATCCAGTTCGGCGCGTTTATTCACTATCGTGGAAAGAATATATATTGCATTTCATATACACAAATTTTATTTTTCTTTGATAAAACATATACCTATACGGCTATAAAAAAAAATTAGTAGTGCATAAAGTGAAATATTGTGAATGTTAAGAAAATTCAAAAATTTGCAATTGGTATAAAGCAAATACTCACATGGGCAACAATCAAACCCTATATATAAACTCACACATCCAAAGATAAGTAAACAATCCAAAGGCTTTATTGACAGCAAAGAAAAACATAGTATAGCCAATAAAGAGAGAA